AAAAAAAAAAAGAGATTTCATAAACTTTACAGTCCGTACTACGTGGATACAAGAAAATACAGGGGGAGAGGGAGGAAAGGGATGAAACGCACACACCTTAAGCTGAAAGTGCCCTATTCACAGAAAGAAAGCTCATGCGCATGCCCCAGCGGCGGGAAGTCTCTTTTCTCGTGCTGAAGGACACCAAAAAAAAAAAAAAGAAAAAAATTGGTTTCATCAGGGCCCTGAGCTGCTGTTCCGATGAACCCAAATTTCCTCAAACTGCAGAGAGGAGTTCTGGGGTGGCCCAGAGAATTCCCGGAGCCAAAAGGAAGGAACGCGTTGGACTCATGGACACGCACGCGGCTCCTCGGCGCTTCCAGGGGGACTGGGAAACTGCCTTTCCCTAAAAACTCCATAAAAACTCCATAAAAACTCCATAAAACCCCCTTGTGGTGAACTGCCTTTCCCTAAAAACCCCTCGTGGGGAGACACCTTTCCCTAAAAACTCCCTAAAAAGCCTTCCTGGGGAGCTGCCTTCCCCAAAAAGCACCCTTAAAAACCCTCATGGGGAGCCRCCTTTCCCTAAAAACTCCCTAAAACACTCCCTAAAAAAACCCTTGTGGGGAGCTGCCTTTTCCTAAAAACTCCCTAAAAACCCCTMATGTGGAGCCACATTTCCTAAAAACTCTCTAAAACATTCCCTAATAACCCATCCTCGGGAGCTGACTTTTCCAAAAAGTTCCCTAAAAACCCTTCGTGGGGAGCCACCTTCCCCTAAAAACTCTTGGCGCCCCTTGTGGGGAGCCATCTTTCCCTAAAAACTCCCTAAAAATTCCCTAAAAACCCTTCATGGTGAGCTGCCTTTTCMTAAAAACTCCTTAAAAATCTCCCTAAAACCCCCTCCTGGGGAGCTGATTTTTCCAAAAAATTCCCTAAAAACCCCTTGTGGGGAGCCACCTTTCCCCAAAAACTCCCTAAAAACCCCTCCTGGGGAACTGCCTTTCCCTAAAAACTCCCTAAAAGCCCCTCCTGGGGAACTGCCTTTCCCTAAAAACTCCCTAAAAACCCCTCCTGGGGAGCCACCTTTCCCTAAAAATTCCATAAAAACCCCTCATGGGGAGCCGCCTTTCCCTAAAAACCTGTTTTGGGGAGACGCCTTTCCCTAAAAATTTCATAAAATCCCCACATGGGGAGCCACTTTTCCCTAAAATCTCCCTAAAACCCCTCGTGGGGAATGACCTTTCCCTAAACACTCCCTAAAAGCTCCCTAAAAACCCTCGTGGGTAGCTAACTTTTCAAAAAAATTCCCTGAAAACCCCTCATGGGGAACCACCTCCCCCTAAAAACTCCCTAAAAACCCTTTGTGGTGAGCCACCTTTCCCTAAAAACCCCTCATGGGAAGCTGCCTTTCCCTAAAATCTCTCAGCAGCCCTGAGGCCCACTAAAATCTCCCTTAAAAACTCCCTAAAATCTTCTGGTGAGGAGCCTTGGGGTGGTGCCTGATGGGCTGGAGCACTGGCAGCGCTGATTTTGGGGCTGGAGGATGAGTTTGGGAAGGGCCATGGCCAAGTTCTGCCTCCCAGAAATGTCTCCAACCTTCCCCGAGCTGGCAGAATCCTCCACCCACCAAAATCCTGATCCTGCACCATTCCCTGCATCCCAGGAAAGCCTTGTAGGGAAAATGGTCAGCGCTGAAATAATAAAAAAAATCCTTTTCCCATCCASCCTGACCTGCCCTGATCCTTCCCTTGCCAGGCCCTGCTCTGCCCTCTTCACTGGAGGAGCTCCCAAAATCAGCCACCCTCTCTAAAATTTAGCAAGGGGCAGTTGTACCAGAAAAAAAAAAAAAAAAAAAATTAAAAACCCCGAAAAGAGGTGTAAATTTAATGCCAAAGCTATATCACAGTGCAAATTTTCCACCTGCCCACTAAGTTTCTCCTGAGGTTTTTTTATTTTTTAATTTTTTTTAAGTTTTTTAATTTTTAATTTTTTTATTTTGTTTTAACAGAAATTTTTCTGTCCCAAAAAACCAAAAAAACCAAAAAACAAAGAAAACAAAACTTCGGATTCTCTTCAGTGATCGCTTTCTTCCCGGAGTAGGCAGGCATTAAAAAGAACAAAATTAAGGCTGCAGCTTCTCCTCCTTTGCTGGCAGAAACGCTGTTGGTGGCGGGGCTGAGCTCTCTCCACCCYGTGGATGGAATGTCCGGGATTTACAGGAATTTACAATAACCTAAGGTGGAGGAGCTCGCTGGGGAATCTCTACTGGCAGGATCCGTGCGTTTTCCTGGGAATCCTCGTGGAATGACGCCCCTGGGGCGTCACCAGTGCCGCCAGCAAGTGGCAAATTTCATGGATTCCAGMTCCACGTGAAACCCAGCTGATTAATTAACTTCTCTCCCAAATGAAGTAGCTAAAATCTACTGGCTGAGGTGCAACATTCATTTCTCAATGGCTTGTGTGGGGTTTTTTTGGCTGCAATGCCGTGGTTTGGGTGGGGAGGAGGGAGAAGATTCCCTGGATATTGCATTTTAAGGATTATACCTCCACATGCCACATGCTCGCTAGATGGAGAGKACACAGAAAATTCTGGTAAGCCATGAGTTTGCCACAGCCTATATTTTGGGTTGAACTGGCCCAAAAAAAGGGTATCCAGGAAAGGTTTTGCCTTTTTTGTAAACATTTTCACAGTATGTCAGGAGTTGCGGTTTCGCTACCCTGCCCTCTCCCAGACTTATGGCTTTTTAGAGTGAGTGAAACGCTCTGTTTGGCAAACAGTGAGGTACTCTAAACAGCTGCCAGTCTGGAACACTGAAGAAAATGTCATGCACTGGAAGAGTCAGAGAGGGGAGGAAATGAAACCGAAAAACCCAAAATAAAACAAAAATCAATATTACACTCCAAATATTTGAAGAGAAACGCCTACTCGATGGGTAGTTAGGTTTTTGCATCCCGGTGTTTCTAGAGCTCTGTCGCTAACCCTATATCGATTACACGGCTGTGTGCATTTATTTAGAAGTTCTTTACTACAGTACTTTTGTACATGCGGCGTTTATTACTAAATGGAAAGAGAAATAGTTACATAAGGCATATGTACAGGGTCGTGGGGGTGGCAGGCGCCTCTGCTCGCCTTCCWCCTCAAGCTGCAAGGCCCTTTCCGTTGTCACCCAGTCTGAAATTGTCCTGAAATTCAGAAAAACCACGGTCAGGGCCGCTCGCTTCGAGGAACGTCAATGAGTCTTTGCTCTTCCATCCCCTGCACGCGTTTCCTTTGTGTTCAGGGTTGGGTTTTGTGTCGTGAATAAACCTGGAGGTCTGGACTCCATCAGTCCCTGCCAGGGGGAGATTCCACCACCAGGGACGGGATTTGCAGCTTTAGCCCGCGCCTTTGCTCAGTCTGGGAATCTCCGGAGCCGAAGAAAAACCCGGGTGGGTTTTTGACATCCCGAGGGTTTGTTTTCCGTGAGTTACCGATGAYGGGAAGAGACAGAAACTAAAGGCGCGTTGCAGAAAGAAACGGGAGCAGAGAGGGAGGAGACAGAGGGGTTTCTGCCTCTCCTCTACACTTTGGACTCRCTCTCCAAGTTGGCCACGTCGCCGTTCCTTTCGTTTTGCTCTTCCTGGTTCTTGTCCTCCTCCTCCGTCTCCAGCTCGGCGTGCTGGTCCAGCTTGCTGGACACGGACCAGGTGAGGGGCAGCTGGGCTCGGCTGGCCATCTCCGCCAGCTCTTTGGCACTGTGCACGGGGGTGTTGGTCTCGTAGGTTTCGTGGAAGCTGTTGTAATCCACCTCGTAGAAGCCATCCTCCAGYGTCAGCACGGGCGTGAAGCGATAGCCCCACAGGATCTCGCTGGTGATGTAGGAGCTGCGAGCCTGGCACGTCATCCCTGCGGGGACACAAGGGACAGGGCTGTCATCGGGGCACACTGCTTGCCCARACCTTTAATTTATGGTTTTTTTCCTGTCTGTAAGAAGGCAGGAAAGAATGAGGTTTGACATCACGCGAGGAGRAGTTTAAAAAGCAGTTCCAGGGTTATAAACAGAGGTCCTTTCCTCCCGTGCAGAGTTAGGAGTGCTCGGCCTGTCAGCAAAGGTTCTAATAATAATTTCATTATTAATAACAATTTCTTTATTAATAATAATTTCTTTGTCAATAATAATTAATTATAATATTTTTTATTTATTTATAATAATATTTTATTTATTAAATATAATTTCTGTTCTTCTGCCCGTGTTTCACCAACTCACCTGCTGCTGAGGCTCAGGGGGTGGGCAGTGTCTGTGCCTGGCAATGTCCCCTCCTCTGTCCCCTGGCTGTCACCAACCCAGGACAACGGGGATTGTCACCAGAGCTCCTCTCTGCCAGAGCCCACCCCCAATCCCGTGATCCAAGGGGTTCCTTGGAGTCCCCTTTTAGTGATCTGAGAGTTGGTGGGTGATGCACAAACACCAATGAAACCCCTGAAGGATGCTGGGATAATTCCTGGTGTGGAACTCGGATAACTGGGATCAATTTCTTTGTTCTATTCTCTTCCCAGCTCTACTCAAACTCACTCTACAGGGGAAAAAAATACTGTATTTTGTTCAGCATCAATACTGTATTTTGACCTGCATCAAAAGAGGTGCTGGTCCAAGCTCAAAATATTTCTGCTCAGCAGTGGAAGAGAAAACCCGGCTGCCCAGGAAAAAATATCAGGAGGAATGAATTGAAGAGGCCAGAAAAATGGGAAAACATGAAGAGAATGTGATTTTCCTTGCATTGCTGCTTATTATTAGCTATGTATTACTAAGCTCAACAGTGTATATTTAGTAAATAAAAAAAACTATTTAGTAAATGCTTCGTAATCTGTAGTAAATAAATTTRGCATATTTAGTAATATAATATTAGTAAATGCATTAAAAATTTATATTAGTATTATATAGTAAATAAAATTATTTAAGCCCTGGACAAGCCTGGCACACATCAGTTATCTGGAAGGCAACCGTAAGGATTAAAAAAATAATAAATTTAGAGAGCACAAATGGCAGAGTGCAGAAATATTCATTGTCCCTCTGCACTGGTGACATCATGGGAAGTCACATGGAGGGTCCTGGGAAGCGCCAGCATTTGGGAATTCAGTATCCCAAAACTTTTACAGACAGTTCCAGATAACTGTGCCCTTGCTCCTTGCTGCCTCCTCTCCCAGCTCTCATTTCTTCCTTCTGGTGATGGAAAATTGCTGTTTCTCTGTATTTTCTCTGTATTTTCTCTGTCATAGTGTCACCTTTAGGGAGACATTTACCAGCTGTGACACTGCCCGGGTATTGCCCTCCCCTTCCTGCAGCTCCTCCGACCCTGTGGAGTGACAATTGCAGGGAAAAATCAGGAAAAGCTGCAGTTCTGGACCTCCCTGTGCAGCCAGGCAGGAACACTGCCTCAGTGTTTTCTAAAGAGTTTTTCTCTCTTTAGTCCTGACACAAATATTTAAACCCTYGTTTGTCTATTTGTTCTTCCAGGACAAAGCACAAATGGAAATACAAAGATCTTCCCATTTTTCTGCTCCACTCATGAACCCTGTGACAAAATCACCCCTTGTGCCATTTCCCCCGTGATTTTGGGTTCCAAAGGGCATTGAGGCTGTGCCAGGGGAGGCTCAGGGTGGACACCAGGAGGAATTTGCCCATGGAAAGGGTGCTCAGGCCTTGGCAGGGGCTGCCCAGGGAGCTTTGGAGTCCCCATCCCTGGAAATGTCCAAAAACTGTGTGGAGGTGACCCTTGAGGACAAGGTTCAGGGGTGACCGTGGGGGTGGTGCTGGTGTTGGTCTGGGCTCAATGATCTGAATGTTCTTTTCCAACTTCAATGATTTAAYRATTTAATTTAGWTAATTTTWATTTTATTTAATTAATWAWTTATTWAATTAATTATTTAAATTAATTTTATTTAATTCCCTGAGTCCCTGATCCAGCCAGGACCTGTTTGGGTTTCCCCAAAAGAAGGTGCCATTCCCAAGGCTCATCTCTTTCCAATCCCTTCTCTGCTGAAATTCCACCTGGAAGCAAGTGGGAAATTTGGAATTTTCATTACAAGGAAAGCAGGGACTCCTGCAGCTTTGGTTGGGAAAAATTATTTTGCCTGGTGGAAAAGAGGGAAGGACAATTTTCTGCAGAAATCAAGAAGATTAATTGAACTCTGTTAAATTTACAGCTCATAAAAACCACCCCTCCTCTGAAATGTTGATCTCCATTTTTAATTTAGGCTCCCACTCAGCAATGATTTAATTCCCGTTGCTTCTCCACAGCAGGATGAAAYGCTTTCAGAGCTAGAATGGAAGTTAGGATTTTTCAAAGGGAGTGAAACTATATTATGGGGTTGGGGTGAAGGAGAATTTTTTTTTTTGTTTAGGCAGCCAAACTACCCTGGCTTTTTACTGTTATATTATTTTTTTTAAATAATAATATTAAAAAATATACTCTATATAATCATTATTAATGAATATAGTCATAATAAATGAATATAGTCATAATAAATAAATATGTTAAAAATACATTAAAAAAATAAATGTTTTTTTTTAAATTAGAAATTGTGTCCTTACAAGCCTTTGCTGAGTTTTCACTGCAGAGGTTTCCATCTGAATGATCAAAAGGTTTGTTTGAATCATGAGAAAAGCTTTTAAAACAAAAACCAAGTGTGGAGGAAGTTCTGGACCCCTTGGGATGAATTTCTGCAGCCTCTGTGTGCTCCTGATGGATCTCAGGGAATCAGGGAGCAGGAGAAACTCTGACCTGTGGCTTTAGAGCTGATTTTTGCACCCTGTCTGGGCTGAGGGGGAGAAGATRGGAGAATTTTCCTAAATCCCTGTGATCATGGAATCCCAGAACGGTTTGGGGCTGGAAAGGGACCTTAAAGATCATCCAGTTCCATGGGTGGGGAGTCTTCTGTTGGATCAGGSTGCTCCAAACCCCAATGTCCAGCCTGGCCTTGGGCACTCAAAGGGATCCAGGGGTAGCCACAGCTTCTCTGGGCACCCTGTGCCAGGGCCTGCCCACCCTCCCAGGGAACAATTCCTGCCCCATATCCCATCTGGCCCTGCCCTCTGGCACTGGGAAGCCACTCTCAGTCAATTTGAAGCCATTCCCCTTGTCCTGTCCCTCCAGCCCCACATTCAAAGTCCCTTTTCTGAGAAGTCCCTCTCCCATGGCACCAACCCCGATGGAATTGGATGGATGAGCGCCTTGCCTGCAGCTCCAGAAATCCCAAGAGCATTCCCAGTTTTGCATCCAAATCCTGCTCCCTTGTTTGTGGGGGATCACCCAGTGCTCCCTGCCCTGGTGACCTTTTGGACTCAAATATTTSTGGGGACAGATTTCTCATGAAGGATTTCTCATGAAGGATTTATCCCTCTTCTGTTTTTGGGCTCTGAGGAGCACAGGAAAGCAACGTGGACTATTAAAAAACAGCCAAAGGTTGGGAGTCGAGACCCCCTGAGTGATCCCTCGCTTCTCCTGCAGGCTCTGCGTGGGATTTGGCAAATTCCCAATTTTGGGTCTGCCTCGCTGCTGCGCCACCGGGAACGCGCTGAGACGGAGAAGCAGGACGTGTGCTGGCAGCATCTTCTCTTCCTCCTCTAGAATTTTTTTTTTTT